CGCGGCAGCGTGGCCTGGCGGCGCCCGCTCGACCCAGATCTGGGCCCTTCGGTCCTCATCTGGGTCTGGGCGGGCCGAGAGCGGGGCGGGTTGGCGGCGTGGCTTCCAGGAGGCGGGCGAGCAGCGATGGGCGTTGGGGGCTAGCGGTGCTAGCGTTGCCCTGCTGCAGCGTGGCCGGCGGGGCTTAGCAGGCCCGATTCGGGCCTGGCCGGGCTAGGGGTGGCCTGGTATGCCCTGCTGCTACGTCCAGACGGCGACCGCGATGGTGCCGGAGGCAGGAGCCTCCTGCACGACGGCGGAGGGGGTGGTTCCCTCCCGCGCGGCTATGGCGTCGCTGCTCCCGTCGACCAACGCCTCCTCTCCTCGTTCTTTTGGCCCCGTGGTGGTGGTCTCAGTGAGGCGGCGTGGGTGGCGTTGCGACCGCGGTGGCGCATGCTGGTGGGCGGCTAGCTGGCTGGTTAGCTTCGATCCGATTGGGCGGTGGGGTTTGGAGTTGGGAGAAATCCTTGCCGGGTCTTCCGGCTACGATACGGTGACGCCTGCGGGTGCCACCATTCCTCCCTGGAGGGTGTCGGTGGTCTTCATTCCCCTCTACCCTTCACGTGCCGGGTGAAACCCTAGGACACGTCCGGGAAGCAGCGTCGTCGGCGTCGCATTTCTTTCTGGAGGTGCTGCTTGGTACGCAGAGGATCGGAGCCTAGGATTGTGGTGGATAGATTTCGGAGGGCGCAACAGTAGTGGGTCATCCGTGCTTTGTCGAGTTGCCGGTGTTGGCATTGTTTCTTCTTCTTTTTCTTTGGTTTGTTGTGCTATTCGTCCCAGCGTATGCTATGTATCAGTGTTGATGTTTTGAAATACAAAGCGGGGAATCCTTTTTCGGTAATTAATGGCACTGTCCTTTCCCGGCAGGCAGCAAATTCTTGAGGCAAATCAGGTTGCGGTGTGTGTAGCTGCCTACCAACGAAACATCATTTCGTTGTAAAGGATAAAACGTAATCAGAAGACACCTGGCTGCCTGCCTGCTTCCTCTGCGCGTGTGTTTGTCTGACCCGGAGCTAAGCTGGAGTATTCCCTGAGCTAGCTGTTGCACCTTCTTCCTTCGTAGCGTCATCCGGTACGGAAAGCTTAGCCTGAAACGTTTACTAATTCAACAATAATAATCACTAGGTCTAGTAGTTAATTAAGCCTCTAGCATCAAAATCGCGTGTTAAATGCAGCTCAAATATGAAGCCATGCATGCACGCACGCGCGCAGCATGCTCCGTCCAGGAAGAAGCAGAATCCACAGATGAACTAACTAAACTACTACTACCTCGTATAGTCGTATATGTGTGTGTGTATTATAGTCGGCTTCGGTCTGTGTTGAATGAATGATTGATGTTGCGCAATCTTATCCTTATAAATACTACCACCAATTAACTAGCATATATGTCATTTGCCATGCATACGTCTGGTGGCTGCTACGTGCATATCATACATCGACTCAGTTCCAAAACAGATGACGCTCTACAAGTAAGGATGGAAATTTTACCCATGGTACGGGTACCCGCGGGTGCCATACCCGCATGGGCAGGGTATGGGCATAATTTTATACCCACGGATAGTACATATATTCTACCCGTTAATTTATGGGTAGGGCACTGGTATAGCTTTTTACCCTTGGATATACCCATACCCTATCCATTTAATACCGACATGTGAATCTTACCTGTGATTCACAATCACAAGTGTACCTACGTTAAAGTTCTGTTGTGAGCTTATGGACCTATGTTTAAGTTTTTACCAATTGTCAATTTAAATAAAGATAATTTTCATTTACTCGGCTATTTGTTATTGAGTTGAGATCAATTGTTTTTTTTTGTCAAATGTGCTATAGATGAATGTAAAATTGTGAATAATTTGTGTACTGTTTGATCTACCTGTTGGGTACCCAATGGGTATGGGTACCCGTCGGGTATGGGTACGGGTAAAGTATCATACCAACGGGTATGAGTATGGGTAGAATTTTGTACCCATTGACTACACGGGTATGGGTATGGTATTGCTCTACCCGCCCCATACCCTATCCATTGCCATCCTTATCTAGAAGGGTTGTAAACAAACTTCTCTGCAGTTAAAGCTAGTTATTTTTCTTATTCGAAAAGGAGGTTCAAACCCCGGCCTACATACATCCATATATTTATTAAAGTTGATGTAAATCATCAGCAAGTAGACTACTGACGTAACATAGATAACTACCACAGAATCATAACAAAATATAAAATTAACACTAAGTTGATTTCTTCCACAACATCTTCAAGATGGAAGAATAAACGGCATCCGTGCGCCACCGCCTGCACGTCCGATCAAAAAAGGGCCAAGACAAGGGTTTTCATCCTAGTTACCGTGGCCAGTTAATGAAGGCTAACACATCGGGAGACAATGTCTTTAACAAGGCAGTGACGCAAGTTCGCCGCTGCTGCTCAGCCTAACCAATCAATTAGGTCAGAACAAGAGTCTTCACCTTGGACATGAAGTGGTTAGGTGGATTGGCCATAAAACTAATTTCGCAACACAAACATTTATTTGATTCCCTGTGTGCCGTGCACAGGTAGCAATCGATACAACGCACAAAGTAAATACAAAATAAAACCCAACACTATCTATTTTAGTAGTACAAAAACGGAGGGATCACTACGAAACTCACCGATAATTTAAAGCAAGTACATACACATACCAACAACTTCTTCCATACGGAGTAAGCAACACTAGTTTATTCCCATCTCTGACCTTTTCTTGTGCACGCAGAATCGCAGCCATGCACGGAGGGAAGCAAGTCCAAGTTCGGCTCACCATTTCTCCTGCCATCCTGCCCTAACCACGGCGACGCGCCTTCCTATATAAGCATTAATGCCGCCGTGCGTATAGGAGCAGGACTAAATTAAATCCGCTTGCAAAGACAACCTAGGAGAAAGGACACAAAACACACACACACACACACACGCCATGTCGTCGACGTCGTCCAAGCCGAAGAGAGCAGGCGGCCTCCGGGGCCTCAGGCCGCAGCCGCTGAGCCTGTCAGCCCGGCCGTCCAAGAAGCCACGCGTTGGCGGCCACGCCGGACCAGCCGGGCCCGTGATCGTGTACGAGATCACGCCGAGGGTCGTCCACGCCGACCCACACGAGTTCATGGACGTCGTGCAGAGGCTCACGGGCAGGCAGCCGTCGTCGACGGAGGCGATGTCCGGATCCGGAGCTAGGGACGGCATTGCCTCGACGTCTTTGGTTCTCACGCTTGGCCAGCAGCAGCGTGCGCCGTGTGGTGGTGACCATCCGGCGCCTCCTGCTTCCCCGGCTGCCGCATCATCACCGCTGCTGTCCCCGAGCAGCTTCTTCTTCTCCCCTACCACTATGCAGGCGATACGAGAGCTCATTAGCTGAGACGACAAGTGCTTTGTTCGAGGCTTGGAACCAGCTTGTGAATATTGAAGATCGCCCGGAGTGATGAACTGATGATCAGATACGTGCAGTAGCACTGTAATTGTCTTGTTTGTTCGGCGATTTTTCTTCCTCTCCCTCTGTCGCCACTGTACATTTCTTATTAATTTTGTTGATTACAGTTTAGCGCACACAAATGGATAAGTTGGATTTATTGTTTCAAATATCACTCTTTGTCGCCACTGTAAGTTATTAGTTGTATACATACATAATTTTCGAGTACTCGTAATTTTCTCTCTCGCTCTCTGTCGCCACTGTACGTCATTAGTTGTACATACATAAGTTTGTGGCTTGTTACTCGAGGGAGTGCGAGAAAAATGAATCAAAAACACATTTTAGAGTTTCAAAATTTTCGATTCTTTTATAACTACATAGAAATGCTCACCAAGTGCTTGTAAACTTTCAATAAAGAAAGATAAATGTGTGGATCTAAAATAGATGCATCGTGTGCTGATTTTTTGTCGAAAGAGACCACCTACCCATTGGAATTGCCAGAAAAGACCACCTATAGATGAATTTGACAAAAAGGACCCCGTAGTCCGTGGCGGCAGGCGAGGCAGGCGACACGTGGCACCTGCCGCCGCGGCTGGTGGCGGCGGGCCCTGCTGCCACGCCCGCTGGCGGCCGCCGGGGCAAAACGTGTTACCAGACTGTGACGTGTGCCGGGACGGAAAGGGCGGGCCTGGTGGGCCTTGCCGCCACAAGAGGAGGCGGTCGGCGCTGCTCCTGCCGCTCCCGGGCCGACAGGCCTCGCAGTTCGCGGGGCCATCAAGTGGGCCACGCCGCCATCGCTAGAGGCGGCACCCTCCTGCACCTGCACGCGCGACAGGCCCTGACGCCTGACGACGCTGATTCCAATGACAGCGACCCTGACGGCGCAAATTCCAACGGGCGGGAGTTTGGACGTTGTGTGCTGCTGATTTTGCCCGGGAATCGCTCCTGTTTTTTCTTCTGCCCGCCTGCTTTTGCTTCTTTTGCATGAATGGATGCGACAACACTGCGGGAGGAATCCGAGGCTGCGGGAACCTGTTGTGCCGACACTACTGGGATCCTAAAATATCCCGCCTAATATTTTGTCTGTTCGCGCTTATTTTATGGCCATCATTTGTCGTCTGAGCCTATAAAAGGAGACACCGAGGCTCTCGTCATCCTCATCCAGCCATCCTCGAAATCGCCACTGCGCAAAGTGTGTAAAACATTTTTTCAGTCGGTATAAAAAAATTGCACAACCCTTTTCGTCAATATTTTCTCGCCAACTCTTTCCCTCCATATGTGTTGGAAATATGCCCTAGAGGCAATAATAAAAGGGTTATTATTATATTTCCTTATTCATCATAATTGTCTTTATTCATGCTATAACTGTATTGTCCGGAAATCGTAATACATGTGTGAATACATAGACCATAACATGTCCCTAGTGAGCCTCTAGTTGACTAGCTCGTTGGTCAACAGATAGTCATGGTTTCCTGACTATGGACATTATATGTCATTGACAACGGGATCACATCATTAGGAGAATGATGTGATGGACAAGACCCAATCCTAAGCATAGCACAAGATCGTGTAGTTCGTTTTGCTAGAGCTTTTTCAATGTCAAGTATCTCTTCCTTAGACCATGAGATCGTGTAACTCCCGGATACCGTAAGAGTGCTTTGGGTGTATCAAACGTCACAACGTAACGGGGTGACTATAAAGGTGCACTACAGGTATCTCCGAAAGTGTCTGTTGGGTTGACACCGATCGAGACTGGGATTTGTCACTCTGTATGACGGAGAGGTATCTCTGGGCCCACTCGGTAATGCATCATCATAATGAGCTCAAAGTGACCAAGTGTTTGGTCACGGGATCATGCATTACGGTACGAGTAAAGTGACTTGCCGGTAACGGGACTGAACGAGGTATTGGGATACCGACGATCGAGTCTCGGGCAAGTAACGTACTGATTGACAAAGGGAATTGTATACGGGGTTGTTCGAATCCTCGACATCGTGGTTCATCCGATGAGATCATCGAGGAGCATGTGGGAACCAACATGGGTATCCAGATCCCGCTGGTGGTTATTGCCCGAGAGCCGTCTCGGTCATGTCTACGTGTCTCCCGAACCCGTAGGGTCTACACACTTAAGGTTCGGTAATGCTAGGGTTGTATGAATATGAGTATGCAGCATACCGAATGTTGTTCGGAGTCCCGGATGAGATCCCGGACGTCACGAGGAGTTCCGGAATGGTCCGGAGGTAAAGAAAACTATATAGGAAGTGGTATTTCGGCCATCGGGAAAGTTTCGGGGTCACCCGGTATTGTACCGGGACCACCGAAAGGGTCCCGGGGGTCCACCGGGTGGGGCCACCCATCCCGAAGGGCCCCAAGGGCCGAAGTGGGGAGGGGAACTAGCCCTTAGTGGGCTGGTGCGCCCCCCTAGGCCCACCCCCTGCGCCTAGGGTTGAAACCCTAGGGTGGGGGGGGCGCCCCACTTGCCTTGGGGGGTACTCCAATCCCCTTGGCCGCCGCCCCCTTGGGAGATTGGATCTCCCAGGGCCGGCGCCCCCCCTGGGGGCCTATATAAAGGGAGGGGGAAGGGGGCAGTCGCACCCTGAAGTCCTGGCGCCCCCTTCCCCTGCTACACCTCTTCCTCCTCCGTCACGTGCTTGGCGAAGCCCTGCCGGAGTGCTGCTGTTCCACCACCACCACACCGTTGTGCTGCTGCTGGAGCCATCATCATCAACCTCTCCTTCCCCCTTGCTGGATCAAGACGGAGGAGACGTTATGCTGACCGTACGTGTGTTGAATGCGGAGGTGCCGTCCGTTCGGCGCTAGGATCTCCGGTGATAGGATCACGACGAGAACGACTACTTCAACCCCGTTCTTTTTGAACGCTTCCGCGCGATCTACAAAGTGGTATGTAGATGCAATCTCTCTCCCATGACTCGTTGCTTATATGAACTCATAGATGGATCTTGGTGAAACCGTAGGAAAAATTTTAATTTTCTGCAACATTCTCCAACAATATGTTCCCGCCACCCATTTCCCGTCAACCCTTTCCCGCCATATATTCCCGCCACCCGTTTCCCGCCATATGTTCGCGCCAACCCCTTCCCGCCAACCCTTTCCCTCCATACCCCAGTCATTCTTTCCCGCCATTTTATCCTCTCTACCTATAAAACCCCGTTCACATGGAGGTGAATAAGTAGTGTAGTGTAGTGTAGTCGAGATGTCCCATTATCCTTTCGATCGTAGTTTTCACCCTGGGATGAGCAGATGTCTTCTGAGGCTAGCCACTGATTTCAGGATGGACAATAGGATAGTTCCATGGCACGAACTCACCGGTAGTGACACCATAATGAATGAGTTGGCCCACGAATTACGTAGGTCTGGATGGCCTGAAAGGACTTATGAGGAGGTACGTACAGAACTTCTTAGGTTGCATGAAAGGTGGAAGAAGGTAGTGGAGCCGAAGAGTGAAACTTTCAGAGGACTGCAACAAAGCATCCATTTTTATGGACTGAAGAAAGCAAGGACGATGATGATATCTTCATGCCGCCGCTTCCGGGTTCTGCCTCCCCGAAGGGCAAGAGTTCTGCATCGTCCAAGGGCAAGAGTTCCGCGTCCTCGAAGGGCAAGAGTTCTGCATCGACGGAGGATGACGATGATGCCTTCATGTAGTTTTTAAGCTACGTCCTCGAAGGGCAAGAGTGTCGTGGTTCTGAGCGCTGGACAGGGGGACGTGGGGGACGATGTGTGAGTTTAGTGTCTTAATTTCTGCAGTTTCGTGTAGCTTTATTTCGCAATCGTTTCTATCTTAATTTCTGCAGTTTAGTGTAGCTTTATTTCAGTACTTAAATGTAGCTTTATTTCAATAGTATGATGTATCTTAATTTCAGTTGTACCATGTCTTAATTAAAAAAAATTATAGTTTTACAATAAAATGTAGCATTTTATTTCCCTCCACTAATTATCGAACGTCATGCAACAACTACAACAAGCACAAACTAATAATGCAAGTACATCTGAATTTAACGGGACTGCTGCATTTTTATTTCAGCATATATAATGTTTCATACATAAGACGGAAAGTCTGATACTGACATATGTAGATACAATGGGTCGCACACGTAGATAGATGAATCATTCTAGTCGACGACGGCCACCTGGCCTTCCCTTCGGACCGGAAAGCTCCAAGCCATTAGGTGGTCGAGTTACACGAAGACCGCGACCGTACTCTAGTTGGTCTTAGCGAGTACAGATAAATCAACATCATGCGGTGTACAGATAAATCAACATCATGCGGTGTTGTTCGCTCGATACGGGCATTCCCTACGTGAATGTCCAGGACTTCTACAAATGTGGCATCGCCTTGGTTCTCCCATCTGGCTATGGTCCATGTCATTGCGATGACGCCTAGACTGACGTCGTCCCTTGGCGGTTCTCATCAAGTCGGCGTTCGGAACCCATTTCGGCCCATCTGGCCACGACATTTTGTAGTTCATATCAATGCCCTAGGCCCAGAACTCACTATTCCAAGTGTTGTACAGATTGTACATGTTGAAGTACGGCGATATGTATGTCTCGACGCTGATTTTTTGATCTGCAGCCGCCCAGAGCACATGACTACAAGGGTAGCCCTCAAGCTTGGGCTTGTTACACGTGCACTCACAAGACATTGGTCCGAGGGTGACAGCTTGCTTTTTTGATCCTCTATGGTGACCCTTAACATACTTGGCTTGCACATTGACCTCCCACTTATTCCTAAGTGCGTCCACTTTCCTGCAGCCATGGCTTTGGGACTTCTTTGCTTTCTCGTCTAGATGTCTTTGCATATTCTCGGACCATGGCTTGTTCAATTCAACTTGTGCATTAGCCACGGTAACCCTGTCTGCAAAGTATGACAGGGTCCGGTTCCAAGATTCTTCAATTAGGGTTGTGATAGGCATGGCTCTCACCCCTTT